AAAATTAGGAAAAACCAGAGCATAGCCTCACAGTTACTGTTTCTTTTTTACAAAATTTAGGGGAGAGGTTAGTATAGCCGTGTGGCTATTTAAAAAATTAATAAAAAACAGAGTAGCCGGGCGGCGATACTATTTAGTAAATAAAATTAAGAAAGAATGACCCTCGTAGTTGCATTAGTTTATACTTTGCTTGTTTGGTACACCGTATTAGACTCTGGATAGGAGTAAATAGTCAATGTCAGGTATTTGGTGTTAACTTGTATTACTTAATTACCTGACTATTTTATACGAGCTGGGCTTTTAATACTCTCCTTACCTGACTAACTAATACAACCCACACACCCCGGTTTAGATAATACACGCTTAATTATACGGTTAGCAAAAAAGAACACTCGTTCTACTCTTTTCATCTTCTTCTCCCTAGGGTTCTTCTCCACTGGGTATCCATCTCTCACTCTCTCTCTTTTTCATACTCTCTCCAATATGCTTCTTCTCTCTTCTTTATATATTTCATCTTTTATTAAAGTTTTGTGAAAATTAGGTTATGAATTATTTCTTTGTCCATGTTTCACTTTTTGTTTGTTATTTTCCACTTTTCCACTTTGTTGAGAACTAGAAACTAAGATAACAATTGAAAAGAATAATATATTATATATATAGAGAGAATTCGTTTTGTTTTATTTTCTGTCTTCGATTTTTTTTTCTTTTCATCATTTTATGCATACTGTTTATGTTTTTCATTGGCTAACATGAATTAACCAACGTATCCTATATCAAACTTCTCTTCCTCATATTATTTCGAATCATATAGTATATATATCATGCAAGCTTTGTGTTGGTAAGATTAACTTTGCCATACTTTTTATTTTATTAAACCTATGAATGGTAGGAAAACAGATTGTTGGTATTAAACAGAGTAGTGCTAGTTTTCGTCCAAAAACAAACAGCTAGTGCTAGTGTTGGTAGTTTAGTGAAATACATATATATATATATATATATATATAGAAGTATGCACTCATTAGGAAATTGATTCTAGTCAGGTTTATGCAAGCGGGATGTTATTTTGTAGTCTTCTGTCATGTGCAAACTCCTACTTATTATTGTACTATTCCAATTTTACATGTTGTGTAATTATATTGCTAAACATCTAATTCATGCATGATTATTTATATTTCATGTCATTTGAATTTCAATTTCCACTTAAATTATCAAAGATTTTTTTATTTATAAAAATAGTCTGATCTGATGTTATCCGGAACAGCACCAAACACAGTATAACTTAGTCAGACTATTTATCCGGAACAGCACCAAACGCTTTATAATATTATGGATAAACAGTCAGTACTCTCCGGAATAAATTAATACTATCTGACAGAAATTAGTCAGTACAGTCCGACGTACCAAATGAATAGATATTAATTTGGTATTGTCGCATGGCTATATACATATTAAATATGTAATTGTTTTATTCTACAAAATTTTCACAAATTACAACTTAAAAGTTCAGCGACTATATAATATTTTAATTTATATTATTTGCATTCACTAATGTTTGAGAATTATGTGTATAATATGTGAATTTTGTGTGTATTATTTAAAATTGTGTAAAAAATAAGTGTATTAAATATGAAATATATGTACATACATGTTCGATTCGAGTATAGTCGCACTGCTATAATATTTTTTTAAAAAGTTAGAAAAACAGAGTATAGCCAAACGGCGGTACTATTTAAAAAAAAAATAGAAAAAACTGAGTATATCCATGCGGCTATACGTTTTGATAAAAAAAATATATATTAAGAAAGAAGTACCCTCCTAGTTGCATTAGCTTATACTTATAGATATTAATTTGGTATAGCTGCACGGCTATACATATAAAATACATAATTGTTTTCTTGGACAAAATTTTGGCAAATTGCAACTTAAAAGTTCGGCGACTATATAATATTTTAATAATATTATTTGCATTCAATAATATCTGAGAATTATGTGTATAATCCGTTAATTTTGTGTTCTTATTTAAAATTTTGTAAAAAGTAAGTGTATTATATGAAATATATATATGTACATGTTCGATATGAGTATGGTACGTTTGCCTTCTAAAAAATTAGGAAAAAGCCGAGTATAGCCGTCCGGCTATACTATTTCCTTTTTACAAAAAATGGGGTGGTAAATTCATGTAGCCTCTCGGCTGTACTATTTCTTTTAAAAAATTAGAACAAACAGGGTATAGCCGCTCGGCTAGAACCTATAAATATCATAATGTGGTTTGCTCCTTTTTAATTACTTTAATTAGTAGTTATGTTTTAATTATTATTTACCTAGTGAATAATTAGTATTTAATTATTTTATCAAAGAAAAAAATAAAATAAAAATGAATTACTATTTATTAAGTAATATAATTTGTAAAGTTAATTAAAATAATTAGTACTAATTATTATTTTAAAAAATAATTAAAACATGATTACTAAGAAAGTAATTAAATAAGGCCAAGATATAATTTAATTAATAAAAAGAAAGTTTAAAAAAATTAAAAAAAAACCGTACTCACCTAAAGATACTAAGTATATTATTTCTTTTTAAAAGAAACCTCTTCCGAAGAAATTTTGTCCTGAGAGGTCTAATCCGACAAATATAAATTCATATTTTATTGTTGGTGCAATGTGGAAATATCTTTCGAGCATAGAATATTTCAACAGTCAACAGTATAGTTCCACAGCGATACTTATATAAATAGAAATTTCAACATTATAGCCGAGGGGCTATACCCTGTAAATAGAAATTTCAACAGTATAGCCGCATGGATATACTAGGCAAATAGGATATTTCAACAGTATAGCCGCGCGGCTATACGTCCTGAATAGAAATTTTCTACCTTATAGCCGCGCGGCTATACGCTGAAGGCAAGAAAACAATGGAAACAGCCATACCGTAAGAATAGTGCTGACTACTACCATGTGCTTTGCAACTACATAAGGCCTGAAATTGTCACGCTCAATCATGAGAAAGAAAGAGACTCGGGCAGATCTTCGAAACCTACATTTTATCTGACAAAATCAATGATTAACTACAAAGACATAACAACCCTTCACTCCATCATACCATCTTGATTACTAAATCATTCAATAATAAAATTACTAAGCTATTCCAAATATGATTCATTCCACCCACTCCCAAGCTCATTCACGTTTGTTTAAATTAACCCAAAGATTATTAAGCAAATCCTGAACTGAAACAACCTGTTCATATACGTGAAGAAGTGTTGGCACTGCACTAACCCGAGAGAAGATGAAATCCATTCCCTAGGGGTTCGAGCATTCAACATAGTTTCAGCTATTGTAAAGGTCTTCGAAACTACCACAACTGCAAATATCAAAAGAATATGAATGAACGATAAGAAACCCCACATAGAGCTTAGATTACAAAAGTCAATATTTAGTGATATAAATAAACTTAATGCCTTTCAAGGGTAGTTTCTGGTTTTGACCCTGCAATATTTCTGGCAACATCAGTAGGATCAACGTTTGCAAGACCGCACACAGGGGAAAACAAATTATTAGAATACCCCTAGACCAAAATCATCCATATGCATATAGTCCTTTAACCCAACTACCAAGACTAGAACCAAATATTTATACAGAGAATGCATCTAACATAGTCCCTGAATATGGGCTATGTTTCTTCAAGCACCACAACTACAACCAACACACAGAATACAGATTGCTTTAAAAAATGAACACAAGGAAAATTTGAAAGCATAAGCAAAAGCATGCCATGTCCTAAAATCCTATGTGCTATATCAAATACAAAATGATTCTCTACATGTCTTTAACAGATGAATGCATACCTCCTTCAAGAACTAAGCCACTGAAATAAACTCATGAACACAGACAATCTCATTGTTCCAATCTGGTAGGTCCTGAAATGAAGGAGCTAAAAGAAAATATTAAAGTTCGAACTTATGCCCTCATCTTGGAAGGACTTGTTCCATCAGCACCACCAATAATTGAAATGCTATTGATCTTGACATCTGATGTAAATCTATCAGAAATAAATGAACAAAATATAACTTAATCAGAACGTAAAGTAACGACATCAGAGATAACTTGGTCTTAGAATGGTAGGTTTTAATAAATTTTCTCAAGATGCAACACAAATGTTTCAGAAATAAGTACAGCTATGTTTAACATCAGATAAAAGCAGATGAGCACAAGAACAAAAGATAATTATAAATGACACACAAATGAAGTGTTATGTTTGTTTTAGGTGAACCTGGAGATGCTACTAAGGTTGAATCCCATACTCAAACTGATAGAGATCGGACTATGGAGATCTAACAAGACATGTTAGCATTGAAATTGAATGAAAATATGGAAAAATGGGTACAAGTACTCAACCAATGGATCTCCCTGTCCCCATCCATTTCATGTTCATGCATTCTTTAACTCAAGTCCTGAAGATAACGCATAAAACAACAAAAGTGGATACTCACGGAATGTAAACAAGTAGCACAGGATCACCCTCATTGCTCTCCAAGTGTTCCTGTTGCAGAAAGTAGGATCAGATGAGGCTTCATATGCCTAGTAATTGAAACATAAATCAAAACCAAAATATATGCATGGTAAAACTTGAACTGAAGCTCAACCAATGATTCAGCAATTTCTTGGCCGAAGATGAGGGTTTTTCCTCTTCTACACCAGCTGTATTATCTTACATCTCTCTGGGAGTTTTTGATTTACTCTTTTTGACCATCTTATGGATCCAAAAGCTGCATTTCACCCATATTACATTACTGAGAATTGGCAAAAATGTATTTGCAGAGATGCCAGACCCGCCAGGAAAAAAGAAATCTGAAAAAAAAAAACGCCATTCAAGTTTTCGAAAAATCGGCCGCCTAGGCGGGCTAGGCGGTTTTTAAAAAAATAAATAAATAAATAGTATAGCCGCGCGGCTATACTTTTTATTTTCTCTGAAATTGATGCCATTTTGGTGTTAGCATCAAATGGCATTCATTTTCTCTGGAAACGGCCACAGGACCTTAATTCTAGTTGAGTGGGAAAGAATGACATGCTTTATAATTCTTTCCTATTAGATATCTCCTCTCTTTCCTTTCGAAATTGAAATCAGAGCGATAGTTGGTCATTTGATTCTGATGATATTGATTAAATGCAGGCAACTCCCAAGGTTCACCCTAATTTATGGAAACCAAGGGATGGCTTAGAGCTGATGAACAATGATCTTCCCAGCACCAACCCTGAAGACTGTGTACAGTGTCCTGCTTTGATTTGTCCAAGAATGATTCATATCTCATATCACCAACTGGAGGGATGATCTCCATTTTTGACATGACAACATTTAAGGTAAACCCAACACAAATAATGTTCTTGAAATTTTCTTTTCCCAGCCAAAACTTCCCAAATCTTGTTTGTCAATATACTTAGGTTCTGTTTGCAAATTTCTCATGATCTAACTCATTGTACTCATAAAAATCTGTTGCATAAAAACGTGGACGATGAAGAAAGTCATGCCACCGCCACCTGCGGCAACATGTCTTGCTTTTCACCCTCTAGATGACAGTATAGTTGCTATTTGCATGGACAATTCCACCATTGTAATATACAATCTCCACTCAGACGAGGTAGTTTGTTTGTTCTTGTAGAAAAAAGCAAATCATGCTCGATGTTGTGATGAAGCAAACCCAAAAAGTTTTTCATTGCCTTGATTTATATATTTTGCAAGTTACAAGGAAGCTTGAGGGTCACGCCAAAAAAGTCACTAGCCTTGCCTTCTCGAACACTCTGAATGTACTAGTTTCTTCTGGTCTAATGTGACTTCTGTTATTTAATGATCGACGTCGTTTTGGCCCTGCACATTTTTGTGTGGGGTGCAGCTGGGTGGGAAAAATAGAGAAGCAAATTGTTGCAGATTCTAGATGGGTAGGAGTTGAGATCATTGTCAGATACTTACATCCAAATTCACCAGAATGAGCTGCAACTCCTTGCAATAAACAAGACTCACCATGATTTTTTATTTTATTTTTTCATATAAAGATGGAGTCACCGCCCCTTCACAAGTATATGATACTAACCTATACAAATTGTGTATCAATTTTACTTTGCCTCGCATTGCAAATACTAAAAAAGAGCCTGCATATTTTACAATTGATTTCAAGAAAGATAAGGTTCTTTTTTAAAATTCTGCAAGCTAAGTATTCTTCAAGTGGTCACACTATCTCTAGGAGGTTTTCCCTCAGGAATGACTGTCCAGTAGTTGCGACATCACAAATGTAAACAGAGATGAGAGGCCTGCCACCCTTTTTGGCTTTGACCTGCAATCATCTCCTGATTCACTTTTATATGTGTTGTTGCATAAGGAACCGGTTGTGTCAAACTTTTCACATGGGCACTCTACCATCCTCGCCAAAACAAAACTGAGCATGGCACATCATTGTGCTTTGGTGTTTTTGTATGCCTTGCAAATTCTCCTCTGCGCAGAGAAAACGAACCATCAATGTAACCAACAGAGGAGATAGAAGATCAAGAGTCCTGAAAATTCCAAGAAACGGATCTCCTTTTAGAAAGGTCCTGCTGCTGAAGCTGCAAAATGCGTACATCATGTGATTAACTTGCATATCAGATGTAAATATCAAATAATTTGGCATGCAAAGCAAGGAAAAAGGTAAATGAAATAAGCAAAAGACAAGGTCCATGGATGCATCTAACAAAACATTAGCTGATTTGTTTTGGTTGTCAAATGGCTGCAGCATTCCTAAGTTATTTCATACATTTGGCTCTTTACAGATTAGGTCAATATTAAAATTCTATTACTGATTTCTGTTCATCATCATATCACATTAGTCCCACCAGTTTGAGTGGTGATTTCCCCACTCCTTTTTCTCCTATTTTATCCACTTACACTCCTTTTTTATAACTAAAAAAGGAGTGTAAGTGGATAAAATAGGAGTGGGGAAATCATTGCCCACCAGTTTTAACTCAAAGTTTATTCTCAAGTCTCCATTAAGGTTGCACCAAATTTCAGTTTGTATATTTGTTTATCCAAAAGGATCCCAAAATCTGCTTCAAATATTTGTTTTGTAGACAAGTTCATATAATTCCAGATGTATATACTTGTATAAAATACCTATGTAATTTGAATATGAACTGTATGCCATACGACTAATTGCACTGAAAAGACAATCAAATGATTTAGCAGAAATAACCAGATTCAAAATTAAATTTTGCTAAACCTCCAACAGTATTTATTTGGTCTATAGGATTAACTTCTCGTAACCGGCATTAGTAAAGCAGGGCTATTTCTACTCTTACCAAACTCATGAGATCAGAGGTCACATAAACTGACTACCAACACCTCAACTACAGAGGGACCTATTTTCAATTAAGAAAAACCTATATTGCCAAAAGACAAAATTATGAATAAAGATGCTTAATATTTTATTAACACAGCAAAGAATCATAATTTCTTATAAACTCTAACTCTGAGCCTGCATTCTATATGAATAACTGACATTGCCAAAACCATAAAAAACAAACAACATAATGCATTAAATCACCAAACATATTGATAAGAGTAGTTTAGAGCATTATCCATTGTTATTAGGTCATTACCCGAGTCTCTCTATTGTCCCCTTTTGATTTTTTACTTACCCATATAAAGAATCTAGTATTTTCTCATTTAAATGTATTATTTAAAGGGTATAGCCGTTTGGCTACACTTATTAAATATATTATTTAAATAGTATAGGCGCAGCGCTATACCCATTAAATATATTATTTTAGGGGTATTGCCACCCGGCTATACTAAATATATTATTTAAAAACTACAGTCGGGCGGTTATACTCTTTAAATATATTATTTGAAGCTTATAGCCCTTTAAATATATTATTTCAAGTAGATACTCCAGCACACGCCGATCCGAACCCAAGCAAATACTTTATATGATATGTCAAAAAGAGTTTCAATTTGTCACCAATCATCGGGGCATGACCCATCCAAGTCTGTGTGTGCTTCGTTACAAAGATGTAAAAAGGGATTGGAAGTCCACAACTGACTTTATAAGAACGTCAACTCTAGGAAAAGGCCCTTCCAAATAGAATACAACCTGATCAGGCATTGTCGACAGTGAAAACTTTCCTTCCAGTATGGCTGCACGGCTATACTATTTCTTTTTAAAAATTAAAAATACGGAGTACAGCCGTACAACTATACTATTTCTTTTATAAAAAAAAAGGGAAAGCAGTCCCGTGAAAAGTTCGAAGAAACATAGTATAGCCGCATGGCTATACCGTGTCTTTTTGACAAAATTAGTGGGAGATCTTGTATAGCCGACCGGCTATACTAAACATAGCATAGCCGTTCGGCTATAGATGCGCAGCTATACGTATAAAAGATGTAATTGTTTTATTCAATAAAATTTTGGCAAATTACAACTTAAAACTTTGGACACTATATAATATTTCAATTTATGTTATATGCATTCAATAATATGTGGTAATTACGTGTATAATATATGAATTTTGTGTGCATTATTTGCAATTTTGTAAAAAATAAGTGTATTAAATATGAAATATACGTATGTACATGTTTGATATGAGTATTGTACGTTTTCTTTGTAAAAAAATTAGGAAAAACCTGAGCACAGCGTCGCGACTATACAATTTCTTTTAAAAATTGGAAAAAACAGAGTATAGCCGCACGGCTATATTATTTCTTTTTTACAAAATTAGGTGGAAAATTAGTATAGTGGAGCGGCTATACCATTTCTTTTAAAAAAAAATTATAAAAAACAGCGTATAGCCGTGCGGCTATACGATTTAGTAAATAAAATTAAGAAAGAAGGACTCTCATAATTGCATTAGTTTATACTTTATAGATATTAATTTGGTATAGCTGCACGGCTATAAGTATAAAATACGTCATTGTTTTATTCGACAAAATTTTGACAAATTACAACTTAAAAGTTCGATCACTATATATTATTTTAATATATGTTATTTGCATTCAATAATATTTGAGAAGTATGCATATAATACATGAATTTTGTGTGTATTATTTAAAATTTTATAATAAAAAATAAGCGTATTAAATATGAAATATATATACATGTTCGATACGAGTACTGTATATTTGCTTTTTAAAAAATTAGGAAAAACCCGAGTTTTTAAATTGAAAATATACAGAGTATAGCCGTGCGGCTATACGATGTCTTGTTAAAAAAAATTAGAAAAAATCGGCGGTAAAAAACAGAGGATAGCCGCACGGCTATACAATTTGTTTTGTTTTTTTACAAAAATTAGTGGGGAAACCTAGTGTAGCCGTTCGGCGGTACTATTTCTTTTCAAAAGTTAGAAAAACAGATTATAGCTGGGCGGCTATACTATTTTTTGTTGTTGAAAAAAAGGCGGAGCCACCCTTTTGTTAGAGTGAGAAAAAAAAAAAAAAAAAGTTTAGTACTAAATTTTAGGAAGTTCATCACATTCAGAAAGTGCTTCTTGGGTGCTGGACTTTAAAGAGTCAACTTTTGCTAGCAATTTATTTTATTACTTTTTAATTTCTTTCATAAAGAAGATGATTTTAGATTTCTCTTTACAATCCTGCTAACAATAACATCAATAAACCAACGGAACGGGGACCAGGAGGAGAATGCTCCTCTGCCTAGCCAGACATGCAATCTGATTTGCCCAGAACGGCGGAGCCACCCTTAGATTAGAGTGAACAAAAAAAAAAAAAAAAAAGTTCAGTACTAAAAAGATTAGAGTGGAAATTAGTTCACCCGGTCTTAGAAAAAAATTAGTCCAACAACTCTTTAAATGAAAAATAAATAGATATATGGCTTATTCCCATGAAAATTTCTGGCTCTGTTTGCCCATCAACAGGCCAAGCAGCACATCAGCTCTGATTTATGCTCCAAATATCTGCATCCATTGGGGGAAAAGTCCTAATTAAGTTTATGCCTCTGGGGCTCAGTCAAATTGGTAAAAGTACTGGACAATAAAGCTCATGTACATTACGAATGGGACATTATAGTTACTACAATGTAAAGAAAGCTCTGCTTAGTTTTCTCTTTCTGTAACATTGATGACCAAAAAAAAAAAAAATTCAGCATAAAGAAATTTGCTTGACAATAAATTGTATGTTAGTTCAGTTATGAATATATTCATACTATCCAATGTGGATATCAAGTTCACTTTTTCACACCTTTGATCTTCTTTTTCATTTTTCTTTTTGGGCTGATTGGCTACTGATTTCTTCACGCTTGCATGATTCTGTTTCCCAGCAGATTGATTTTGTGCTTTGATGCTTCCATATATACCCTTTCAGCTTTCTTCCATGTTCATTCTTCTCATTTCAATATTGAGGTCAGATGAGTGAAGGCTTGGTCCTGCCTCATCATCATAAAGGCCACTGAACTTGATTTCTGGTTCATGATCATCGTCGCCGTCTTCATCATCATCCTCATCATCATCATCGTCGTCGTCGTTGTCCTCCTCCTCCTCCTCCTCCTCCTCATCATCATCATCATCATCATCATCATCATCGTTGTCATCTTCATCATATTCTTCATTGTTGTCTTCATATTCTCTAAGAAAATAAGCATATGGGACAGACTTGCACGCAATAAAAGAGTCAGTGTCATATATAAATTTGTCCCATAAAAGGCTGACTCCTATCTTCTTCACCGTATGACCAGATCCAAATGCGACACAAACCTCAATGAAGTCTCCGCCTTCCAAATTGAAATCCTTGTTTGACAAATGCCCCTGCCAAATAATGTCATGGGAAATTGTTGTGTAGGGATATGTAGGCCGGACAAGAAAACTAGTGCAGTTGCTATGATTTGTAACA